TCTTTCACAAGAAATTCGATGACAGCACGCTGGTGAAACAACATATCGTTGTCAGCCATTTTGTTAGGAGTGATACCGGTCACGTGATGCAAGCTATTTACGTCACAAGACACTCAAGGTTACCACAACAGCTGGTTCCACCTACCACCATACTCTCTTTCGTCTGCTGTTCCCAGGTTGCATGCAAAAAGTTGCTCATGACTTTTGGTACGATCTACGTATTTAGAAAATATTCAGACTTTAAAGGCTCATACAAAGTTGCATTAAAACAAGACAGTGAAACACTTGTTAATTCCATAAAATGTATACATACATGTATGTACTCACAAAGTAATATGTGACTAAAGAACTTTAAGGACAACTTCTGTGCTTATTTTTAGAAGGTTTATTCAGGAAATGAAATCAGAACTAGAAAAATTACATTTCAATTACCAGTATTTCATCATTTTTAAATGCTGTCAATTGATTCAAGTGTCACACAAACTTGGCCAAGTTAAGACCCAGATGGTGATGCACAGTGCCTCAGTTCCTTATTATGCCATCTGCCTGATCCGCACACCAGTTCCACATTTTGGGTGTGCATGCTGATATGTACATCAGAAAAGCTGTATTTGTGGTTGACTTGGGTCACACGTTAATGCACAAATAAAGATTTACTATTTTTGTAATGTGACAGTGGATGGATTTCTCTAGGTAATGAAGAAATCCATCCAGTCTCTAACAGTATACTGAAATGAAAAAATAAAATCATGCAGTATCTAGGTTCTCATACCATGTGGATTAAAAGCATCAAGTTCAAGTTTGTGCATTTGTGTAAGAGACAGAACTACAATACTGTAACAGGTATGAGTGACTATAGATGGGGTTTGGATTGGTAATTGGATTTGTTGACCACTTACAGACCATAACTACAAATAACTATTGCGCTATCACTAATTCACAAACTCTGCAGTTCACTACAGCATGTACTAAGTTCTCAGTCTGCTGTGACTTCATCAGTCACTGTCGACTTCCAACACTGGAGAGCCCTCAACTCCTGTGTTCAAGTCCTTATTGGCTGGCGACTATCTCATAACTAACCACCAGGCTGGAGGCCATCTTGCAACAACCTCCTACTCTTCTGACTAAACTGGAATTTGGGTCTTGTTATATGCCCTTGGCTCAGAACACATAGAAAACACTGGTCCTCACTGTCATAGTTCAATTGTTGCCATGGGAACATGTTTGTTTGCGAAGCTCTTACACAGTAGCAGCTGTCGTATATTTGCTTATTCCGTGGTCATTGCCTAGCAACAGGTATGTATGCCACAATATACAGCATTGTATACCTTAAGGACAATCTTACATTTACATGACACACCATGCTTACAAATGAGTTTCTGGTAACCAAGCCACAGTGGAGTAACTACTAGTACATTAGGTCTGGATAACATTCCATGATGAAGGCTCAAAAAACCCACTTGTTCACTCATCCATGACCAGTGAAATATCAAGGCCAACAACTGAAAACCTTTGAATTTATCTGCCAACATTATCTCCTGTAATCTTTTTTAATTTTTCACAGATGACAAACACTAAATCTGTAACATGCATGGGTATGAGAGCCTTTGTTAACATGTCTGAACATTGAGACAAAGGAAAACAATCAGAGAAAAATATAATTAAAATGGCAGTGGTCGGCACAGTTTCTCATGTGAGAAATGTCTGGTGAGCAGAATTTTTGTCTAACTGGTGAACTGTGCAAACACTTGTTAGCCTCTGGACATGACCTTTAGTTTGAAGTTTAGATTCTTATACTGGTGTTTTTATTTTGATTATATGATGAACAGACAGTTGGATGTAAGACCTGGGGTTGCCTATAACCTAATAGTTGTCCCAACATTAAACCCACCCAATCAATCATCATAATTTGGTTGAAAAAGAAAAGAAAAACAGCCTTTGGTAACCATTAGTTTACTCATGGTTTTGTATCTTCTATAATTTCACATTATCCTTTGGAACAAATGATGTAGAAATGCAGTGAATAATACCTTGTGCTTTCAGAAGCTGTGACAGCTGCATTGCTGCATTGCATTGGTAGTCACCAAATTTTGAAGATGGTACAACGGGTACTCCAACATCTGGCACATCAGGAAAAGCTGCTTCAACTGCCTTTGTAAACGTTCGCACAAGCTCTTCTTGAATACTCTGCATCTTGATTTCTTTGCTCGATTTTATTTTGGATTCCTGTGCCTCACAAGCCTGTAATATTATTTTTTGCATTATTAATTAATACAAATAAGTAATGAGTGCAACATTCACCAAGAAGTTAATAATTCTTATTAATCACTTCAAGAACTGTTAGCATGTCATTCTCCAAAACATCAAATCAGCCATTTTATTCTGCTTTCTTTGTGAAACATGGTCTCTTCTTTTGAGGAAAGAATTTTAACTGTAAATGCTCAAGAAAATACTGAGCCTTTAAATATATATAGTAACTATGCGAAGAAGAGCCTTCTTTGCTTATACAGTTCACACAATATTGTTGGCATATATAAATTAAGGTTATGATGGGCTGAACATCCACCTTGGATACATACAGAACACTGTAACGGATTTGATCAACATGTTGCCAGGCAACAGCTCTGTAAACACAGTCCAACACATAACAATAGAGGAAGATGTGTTTTCAGTGTCCGTCACACATCAGTGGATAGAGACCACATGACATATTTTCTGTAGAAGCATGTCCATCTGCGGCTATATAAGTAAGAGTGACATAATTCGTTCAAGGCAGTTACAAGTAGTAGTAGTAGTAGTAGTAGTAGTAGTAGCAGCAGAAGCAGAAGCATGTGAACAAGCAAGCAGTAAGCTTGAGGATTATAGAAGAGTACAAGAAATCAGCCCGTGAAGATTTAACATGTGATTTGAAGACTTTATATGTGCTATAGTGCAGCAGTATTGAGAGTGTGTGATTTAGGGAGACTTTCATAGTTCCTGTGTTATAATTTTGTTGCCAGGAAATGGATAGTGAAGACTAGTGGAAACAGACTGAGAAGATTAGTGTGGAGTGATTGTAAATTGTGAAAATCAATAACAGTGTAATAATTATTTGTAATTATGGCCTGTAGGTTGTTAATAAATCCGATTACCAATATGAACCCTGTTTTTAGTCACGGACACACAATTATTTGGATAACCAACAAGGATGTGGAAGGATAATAATAATAATAATAATAATAATAACAACAACAACAACAACAACAACAACAACAACAACAACAACAACAACAACAACAACAACAACAACAACAACAACAACAACAATGGCCTGTAGGTTGTTAACTCTTTGACTGGCGCAGGCACATTTTAACGCCCAGATGATGCCAGCCATTCCCTGGCGTTGGTGTGTTTTAGTGCTTTGATAAACTCTTCCCTTCTTTGCTCTCTTGGCACTCATCAACCAAAGACATATATATATGATAGTTTTTATGCATGGTTGTAAAGAACCCTTGTTAACTTTGTGGGGGTCTATATTACTGTCAGAACCCTCCGAGAAGGTAAAGGTCAGAAAATATTTCACATTCATTCAGTTTCACCATGGCTTCTCGCAGCAAGTGTCGGAGTGTTCCTACAGACCAGCTGGAAAGTGTTGTGAACGAGATTTGTGCTGATGATGATAGTGGCGATGAAATAATGATTCCTGAATTAGATGAAGTTGATAGTGACAATAATACAGTGACAGACAATGATCCACAAGACAGTAATCATGAACAGTTACCTACCACGAGTGCGGTGCCTGACACGCCCATCTCATGGACGTACGGA